TTAACATTTTTTATTATGTTCATAAAAGAAAAAAAAAGTACACAAAGAGTTCACAAGATAAAGAAAATACAATATTAAGAAAATAATATTTTATTATCAAGTACGATAAGTGAGAGTTAATTTTTTTTATCAAAAATGAAACAACAGGTTAAAAAAAATAATGATTTTATGTTTAACCTTCTTTTTCTCTTTGAAAACAAAAAAGAGTAGACGAGAGAGTGAGAGACAGATATAAACATTAAATAACACAAAATGGTGAGAAAAAAAAATAATAAAAAAGCATCTTAATAATTTTACTTTTTCCTATATTTAAGTTTATATTTTACTATTTATAAACATGTATTTATAAAAAAATAAAAGATTTAGTTTCCATAAATTATTATAATACACATTGAAAAGTTTGAAAAATATGAAATAGTTGTTTCTATGATGTTCCAGCACATATTTCATTTATGGAAGTACTTATTTTCTTTAAGGGATTTTAAAAAAAAAGGAGGATTTAGAAGTGATAAATAATATATTTGTCTGTGAAAATTTAAATAAAATTTAATGAATGTGATAAATAAAAAATATTTTAATTAAAAAAATATAAAGATTATTAAAATATATTTAATGATTAAAATATTATAAAATGATATTTATTACTAATATATTTATTTGTAAATTATATTATAAGGAAAAAATAATTTTAAAAATAAAATAAATTTATATTTAAGTAAAGTCAAATGTTTTTCATCTGTGATGGGTGTTGGTATTAGAGGTAGAGATGGCAGAAATATGAGAAGAGCCAGCGAAGATTGGTTGTGTTGTGTGTATTGAAGTCAATTATGGCAAAACTGCAGAGTGAGTGACTTTGTGTGGGGCTGTGCTAAAAACTAACCTGCAACAGTCTTTTCCAAGTTGCAATTTGCAGACTGCATATCTCTCTATCTTTCAATCAATGCAGGATTTTTGTTTATCTTTTAAATCCGGTGATCTTGAATTTAAGGGTTTTTCCATATGCATAAATGCAGTAAATGGAAATGGCAGCCTCTGACTGTGACTATGACAACTCTTCAAACCATTCAACTCCAATAATGTAGTCACAGAACATACTCGCAAAACATCCTCTTTCTTTTTCTTTTTTTCTTTTCAAAATCCAACTAATTATCAACCACCTTTTTTTCTTTTCTTTTTACTTCGATATATGTATATCTCACCGTAACATTTTTTCTATTTCATAATCATATAAGAAAAATAAAATTACTTAAAAAGATTAAAAATAAATTTATAAAATAAACAATATTAAAATACATATTATTAATTCTTTAATATTAAAAAAACAAATTATGATTATATAATTTCAAATGAATAAACAATAATATAATCAATGTGAAATGATTACATAAAATATTTTAGAATTACACAAGTAAAATTTCATAATACCAAAATAAATAAGCAATTACCATTCAAAGAATTACATGGAATAAACAAGCACAATGAATAAACTTACTCCCAATGAACTTGCTAAGGAAAGATCTTACATACTACTAATCTTCAAAGAGGTTTAACAATATGGTAGTTTCTTAGTTAGTACGTTTAGTTTCTCCTACCATTACACAAAGCATTTTATGGACTAATAAGATTGATGAATTCTAAAATGATCTAAAATCCAAATTCTTTCAAAAGAATTTTTTAAGAAATTGTGTATTGCAAATGAATGCTTTTTCTTTAAGATAGGGAGACTTCATTGTTACTAAAATTTTGATAAAACTCATAATCGTTTGGGATGAATGAGATAATTTAAGACTCGAATCTTGTTATAATTATTTTACTAAAGTTTATTATGAAACGATTTTCTTAATAAATTAAATTCCGAGTAACAATTTTTTATAAAATTTTTCATTAAATCGTTTCATTCGTTTATTTAAATCTCTTAATCCAAACAATATTATAATCATTTATCTATGTTTTCAAATTTAACCATTCACTCTTCCATGATTTACTTTTCAATTCAAACATTACCTTAAAAAACGATATTTACCATGAAATGGGACAAATACAAGGGACATAGATAAAGAAAATTGTTGATAGTAATAATAATATAGTTGATGAAAAATGTAAAATTATTAAATCAAACATACAATATGGAAGTTAATTGATGGATCCGTCATAAAATAGTAAACTAAAGCTAAAATCCTCGATTCTAACAAGAAATGCAACTTATCATATTTTTCATTCCAGATATTTTAGGCACAAAGTCAGCTCTTTGAGAATAATATTAATAATATAATTAATTTTTTAATTGTATTTATAAGTTTCCAAGATGGTAATTCTGTTGAATTAAAAGAAATTCTTACACTTTGTTTACTTGAATAAGTGATGGAATGGATTTGAGAGAATTTAAAGATAAATATTTTTAATTTGTCACGTCAATCAAATCCATATTAATTATCGTAAATTTTACTTTCAAATTCACTCTTACTTGCTTCCAAATCCACTCAAATAAAAAACAAAAAATTGATTCGATCAGTCTCTTTCAAATTCATTTAAGTGAAGAAAGCATTACAGAAAAGTTAAAAAAAATTATGATTACAATACAAATATAATTTATGAAAAATATTGAATTCAAATACTGAAGATATAAAATATTCAATAAATCAAAAACTATTAACAAATCCAATTATTTTTTTTATTGCATTCAAAAAAGTTCTTTTAATGATTTAGAGATAGTGTTGTTTTAAAATAAAATAACATTGTTATTGTATTTAACAATTGAAATATATATATATATATATATATATATATATATAT